GCTTAGAAAAAACTGTGGCCAGAATGTGTAGACAAAAGAGATTTTGAGGGTTTGAGGCTATCCCTGGGAATCCTATGCCAGTTGAGGAATCCATTGTGGCATTGGGGAGGTCCTTGGGGTTGGAGGTTAGTGGGGAGGATGTGGAAGAGCTGGTGGAGGAGGACAATGACAAACTAACCACTGATGAGCTGCTAGATCATCTTCAACAGCAAGAGGCCAGACCTGAGGAAACTGCTTCGGAGGAGGGGATAGAGAAATTGAGGAAGTTGCCTACTTCAAAGATTAAGGAAATGTGTGCAAAGTGGCTTGAAGTGCAAACCTTTTTTGATGACAATCACCCTAACACAGCTATTGCAAGCCGTGCTGGTGACTATTACACTAACAATGTTGTGAAACACTTTAGGAATGTCATAAAGGAACGGGAGGTACAGGCCACTATGGACAGATATGTTGTGCGAAAGAAGTCCAGTGACTCTCAAGCTGGTCCTAGTGGCATTAAAAGAAGAAATGAAGTAACCCCGGAAAAGGACTTGCTACCTCAAGTCCTAATGGAAGGGGATTCCCCTTCTAAACACTAACACCTCTCCCCTCCTCCCATCCCATCAATCATCACCAGATCTTCATTAAAGGTAAGTGTCAATTATTCTATTGTTATTGTTGTTATTGTAATTATTCTATTGCATTAAACTTTATATTTCATGTAGTAAAATTTTTTTTTTCATACTTTTGGATGTCTTGCACGGATTAATTTGATTTCCATTATTTCTTATGAGGAAAATTGATTCGCTTTTAGATATTTTCGGTATTCGATGAGTTCTCAGGAACGGATTAATATCGAATACCGGGGGTCCACTGTAATGCTGTGCAGAGTTATGAATATTCTTACTCAACACCTGGAATGTGTCTGTGCACCTCAAGAGGTGAATTTGCTGACCTACCAGCATATTCATTGCAAGGATACCAACATACTGCATTAGCACCCATGATTAATAATATCCTCATTACTATAGGGTGTCACTCAGCATAACCTTACCATAATTATGTTAGAATCACTAAATAGTGGGAGACCTCATTATCTTCATTTCAGTCAGAACTTAATATAAAAGAATGTATCATACATGTTTAAAATCTTAGTCTTATTTACCTTGCATATTCCATTACTACATTTACATGCATTAACAATGAGATTACAACTCATCCTTCATTCACTTTGATATACAATTCTGTTCACTTTCCTTTGCTTTTCTCACTCCCCTGAAAGTTATAATGAATTTTTATTTTAATCAGGAGAAGCGTTGAACATGTAGGTGTCCTTCCTGTTTTACAAGTATAACAACTAACTTACAAACAACTGAACTAACTTATTCAATATGTTTAAGCACTGTCAAAATAAAGAAATTAAACATGACATGATTCCATCACTGTGGATTCTTTATTGCTTACAGCAAAGAACTTACTTCCTAAACATTATTTCAAAATTACACGTTTTTTTTTTTCAACAAGTTGGCCGCCTCCCACCGAGGCAGGGTGACCCAAAAAGAAAGAAAATCCCCAAAAAAAGAAAATACTTTCATCATCATTCAACACTTTCACCTCACTCATACATAATCACTGTTTTTGCAGAGGTGCTCAGATACAACAGTTTAAAAGCATATTTAAAAATATATAACATATCCCTCCAAACTGCCAATATCCCAAACCCCTCCTTTAAAGTGCACGCACTGTACTTCCCATTGTCAGTACTTAAGTCTGGCTATATAAAAATAACTGGTTTCCCAGAATCCCTTCACTAAATATTACCCTGCTCACACTCCAACAGCTCGTCAGGTCCCAAAAACCATTTGTCTCCATTCGCTCCTAACACACACACACACGCTTGCTGGAAGTCCAAGTCCCTCGCCCACAAACCTCCTTTACCCCCTCCCTCAAACCTTTTCAAGGACGACACCTACCCCGCCTTCCTTCCCTTACAGACTTATACACTCTCCATGTCATTCTACTTTGATCCATTCTCTCTAAATGATCAAACCACCTTAACAACCCCTCTTCAGCCCTCTGACTAATACTTTTATTAACTCCACACCTTCTCCTAATTTCCACACACCGAATATTCTGTATAATATTTACACCACACACTGCCCTTAGACAGGACATCTCCACTGCCTCCAACTGCAGCATTTACAACCCAAGCTTCACACCCATATAAGAGAGTTGATATAACCATACTTTCATATATTCCCTTCTTTGCCTCCATAGATAACATTTTTTGTCTCCACATATACCTCAATGCACCAATCACCTATTTTCATTCATCAATTCTATGGTTAACCTCTTCCTTCATAAACCCATCCGCTGACACATCAACTCTCAACTCTCTGAAAACGTTCACTTCCTCCATACTCCCACTCTCCAATGTGATATCCAATTTTTCTTTATCTAAATCATTTGACACCCTCATCACGTTACTCTTATCTATGTTCACTTTCAACTTTCTACCTTTACACACCCTCCCAAATTCGTCCACTAACCTTTGCAACTTTTCTTTAGAATCTCCCATAAGCACAGTATCATCAGCAAAAAGTAACTGTGCCAACTCCCATTTTGTATTTGATTTCCCATAATTTAATCCCATCCCTCTCCCCAACACCATAGCATTTACTTCTCTTGCAACCCCATCTATAAATATATTAAACAACCATGGTGACATTACACATCCCTGTCTAAGACCTACTTTTACTGGGAAGTAATCTCCCTCTCTTCTATGCACCCTAACCTGAGCCTCACTATCCTCATAAAAACTCTCAACAGCATTTAGTAACTTACTACCTATTTCATATACATGCAACATCTGCCACATTGCTCCCCTATCCACTTTATCATATGCCTTTTCTAAATCCATAAATGCAATGAAAACTTCCCTACCTTTATCTAAATAAATACTGTTCACATATATGCTTCAATGTAAACACTTGATCTACACATCCCCTACCCACTCTAGAGCCTCTTTGCTCATCCAAAATCCTGCTCTCTGTCTTACCTCTAATTCTTTCAATAATAACCCTACCGTACACTTTTCCTGGTATACTCAGTAAACTTATTTCCCTATAATTTTTACAATCTCTTTTGTCCCCCTTCCCTTTAAATAAAGGAACAATACACACTCTCTGCCAATCCCTGGGTACCTTCCCCTCTTTCATACATTTATTAAACAAAAATACCAACCACTCCAACACTATATCCCCTGTGCTTTTAACATTTCTGTCATGATCCCGTCAGTTTCAGCTGCTTTACCCCCTCATTCTACGTAATGCCTCACGCACCTCCACCACACTCACATCCTGCTCTTCTTCACTCTTAAAAGATGTTATACCTCTCTGACTAGTGCATGAAATTACTGCCTCCCTTACTTCATCAACATTTAAAAGTTCCTCAAAATATTCCTGCCATCTACCCAATACCTCCAGCTCCCCATCTACTAACTCCCCTACTCTGTTTTTAACTGACAAATCCATTCATTCCCTAGGCTTTCTTGTTTATCTCACTCCAAATTTTTTTCTTATTTTCATCAAAATTTCATGACAGTGCCTCTCTCACTCTATCATCTTCTCTCCTTTTGTACTCTCTCACCACTCTCTTTACCTTTCTTTTACTCTTCATATACTCTGCTCTTCTTATAACACTTCTGCTCTGTAAAAACCTCTCATAAACTATCTTTTTTCTCTGCACCACATTCTATACTGCATTTTTAAAACTATTCCAACTCTCTTCAACCACTCCTCCCCACTACTCATACTTGCACCAGCCCAACTTTCTCCCAATAGCTGCTTATATGTCACCCTAACTTCCTCCTCCCTTAGTTTATACACTTTCACCTCTCTCTTACTTGTTGTTGCCATTTTCCTTTTGCCCCATCTACCTATTACTCTAACTGTAGTTACAACTAAATAATGATCCAATATATCAGTTGCTCCTCTAGAAACTTGTACATCCTGAAACCTACCCATCAACCTTTTATCCACCAAAACATAATCTAACAAATTACTTTCATTACATGCTATCACATACCTTATATACTTATTTATCCTCTTTTCATAAATATGTACTACTTACTACCAAACCTCTTTCTACACATAGGTCAATTAAAGGCTCCCCATTTTCATTTACCCCTGGCACTCCAAATTTACCTACTACTTCCTCCATAATATTTTTACCCACTTTAGCAGTGAAATCCCCAACCACAAGAACCCTCACACTTGGTTCAAAACTCCCCACACACTCACTCAACATTTCCCAAAATCTCTCTCTCTCCTCTACACTTCTCTCTTCTCCAGGTGCATAAATGCTTACTATAACCCACTTTTCACATCCAACCCTTATTTTACTCCACATAATCCTTGAATTTATACATTTATATTCCCTCTTTTCCTGCCATAACTTATCCTTAAACATTATTGCTACTCCTTCTTTAGCTCTAACTCTATTTGAAACTCCGGACCTAATCCCATTTATTTCTCTCCACTGGACCTCTCCCACCCCCTTCAGCTTTGTTTCACTTAAAGCCAGGACATCCAGCTTCTTCTCATTCATAACATCCATAATCATCCCTTTCCTATCATTTGCACAACATCTATGCATATTCAAACATCTCACTTTGATGGTTTTCTTCTTTTTCTTTTTAGTAGGCTATACAGGAAAAGGAGTTACTAGCCCATTGTTCTCTGCATTTTAGTTGACTTTTACAACAAGCATGGCTTATGGAGGAAAGATTCTTATTCTACTTCCCCATGGATATAAAAGCAACAGCAATAAGAACAGGAACTATTAAGATAAAATCAAAGAAAACTCAGATGAGTGTGTATACATAAACATGTACATGTACGTGTAGTGTGACCTAAGTGTGTAAGTACGTACATGTATATGAAAGAATATAAACATTGTAATATAAGAACAAATCCACAAGAATTGTTATTATCTCTGAATTATGCTGAGAAATAAACAAATTATTTAAAACAATTCTTTAATTAGAAAATCATTCATATATTTACATGCCACAGATACTGTACCATATGCCAGACCATGAAATCAGACAATTAAATGCATTATGTAGTACATATCTTCAAAATGTGATTTTACAAAAAATTATAGTAACTTGACACTTACTGATCTGACACCAAAAATTGAGAGACAGATTTTGCATATGAACGCCTGAACTTATCATCTAATTCATTTTGTGACAACCACTGATACTCAGCAATGTCTTCACCTGGATTTACTGCCCCATTATTGTCTATCACTTGAGCCTTGTAGAAGAAAACCTGAAAATAATAATGTGAATTGAATACATATTTGTAAAAGAATAATAAATTATACTGTAACAGAACATGTTTTAAAATGAGAGATGCAGTAATTTTATTTCGCTTCATTATTATTATTGTTATTTTTTTTAGGTGTTACAATGAAACTAACACCAAAATATACAAGCCCTTAGTGGAACAAAATATTATATGATGTATGGCTCAACCTCCATAAAATCATTTTTTGAATGACCAACTACGTTCCACCAAAACTGATAGATCCAAAATAGAATGCTACTTTCTTCTTTCAACGTACCAGCTGTATCCCACCGAGGTGGGGTGGCCCGAAAGGAAAAACGAAAGTTTCTCCTTTCAAATTTAGTAATATATACAGGAGAAGGGGTTACTAGCCCCTTGCTCCCGGCATTTTAGTCACCTCTTACGACATGCATGGCTTACGGAGGAAGAATTCTGTTCCACTTCCCCATGGAGAAGAATGCTACTTATCGTTTAAATAAGGAAACACAAAAATTAGTAAACTGCTTAAAAAATCTATGATGAACATTACTATGCAAAGCTAAAACCATAATCAGAAAGTCAGTGATGAAAACATAGGTACTAGTAAGAAATGTTCAACAGGTATACATCAATTAAAATTGTGGGTCACAAGGTCCCTTTAAAATATGCAACATTAACAGCAAATGCACTATATTCACTACTTCTATATCTGTTCACTTCAGTCTTTCACAAAAGGGTGACCCAACAAAGGGCTCATCTTCCAATACTACAAAAGGGATTCAAAAGTTCATTTTGAGTAGCACAAGCATTGTTTTATAGGTAGTAGGTTGGTAGACAGCAACCACCCAGGGAAGTACTACCGTCCTGCCAGATGACTGTGAAACAAAAACCTGTAACTGTTTGCATGATGGTAGGATTGCTGGTTTCTTTTTCTGTCTCATAAACACGCTAAGATAACAGGGATATCTTGCTACTCCTACTTACACTTTGGTCACACTTCACAGACACGCACATGCATATATATATATACATACATCTAGGTTTTTCTCCTTTTTCTAAATAGCTCTTGTTCTTTTTTATTTCTTCTATTGTCCATGGGGAAGTGGAAAAGAATCTTTCCTCCGTAAGCCATGCGTGTCGTATGAGGCGACTAAAATGCCGGAGCAATGGGCTAGTAACCCCCTTCTCCTGTATACAATTACTAAAAAAGAGAAGAAGAAAAACTTTATAAAACTGGGTTGCTTAAATGTGCGTGGATGTTTGTGCGGATGACAAGAAACAGATGATTGCCTGATGTTATGAATGAAAAGAAGTTGGATGTCCTGGCCCTAAGCGAAACAAAGCTGAAGGGGGTAGGAGAGTTTTCAGTGGGGGAAATAAATGGGATTAAATCTGGAGTATCTGAGAGAGTTTTGAGCAAAGGAAGGGGTAGCAGTAATGTTAAATGATCAGTTATGGAAGGAGAAAAGAGAATATGAATGTGTAAATTCAAGAATTATGTGGATTAAAGTAAAGGTTGGATGCGAGAAGTGGGTCATAATAAGCGTGTATGCACCTGGAGAAGAGAGGAATGCAGAGGAGAGAGAGAGATTTTGGGAGATGTTAAGTGAATGTATAGGAGCCTTTGAACCAAGTGAGAGAGTAATTGTGGTAGGGGACTTGAATGCCTAAAGTAGGAGAAACTTTTAGAGAGGGTGTGGTAGGTAAGTTGGGGTGCCAGGTGTAAATGATAATGGGAGCCCTTTGATTGAACTTTGTATAGAAAGGGTTTAGTTATAGGTAATACATATTTTAAGAAAAAGAGGATAAATAAGTATACACGATATGATGTAGGGCGAAATGACAGTAGTTTGTTGGATTATGTATTGGTAGATAAAAGACTGTTGAGTAGACTTCAGGATGTACATGTTTATAGAGGGGCCACAGATATATCAGATCACTTTCTAGTTGTAGCTACACTGAGAGTAAAAGGTAGATGGGATACAAGGAGAATAGAAGCATCAGGGAAGAGAGAGGTGAAGGTTTATAAACTAAAAGAGGAGGCAGTTAGGGTAAGATATAAACAGCTATTGGAGGATAGATGGCTAATGAGAGCATAGGCAATGGGGTCGAAGAGGTATGGGGTGGGTTTAAAAATGTAGTGTTAGAGTGTTCAGCAGAAGTTTGTGGTTACAGGAAAGTGGGTGCAGGAGGGAAGAGGAGCGATTGGTGGAATGATGATGTAAAGAGAGTAGTAAGGGAGAAAAAGTTAGCATATGAGAAGTTTTTACAAAGTAGAAGTGATGCAAGGAGGGAAGAGTATATGGAGAAAAAGAGAGAAGTTAAGAGAGTGGTGAAGCAATGAAAAAAGAGAGCAAATGAGAGAGTGGGTGAGATGTTATCAACAAATTTTGTTGAAAATAAGAAAAAGTTTTGGAGTGAGATTAACAAGTTAAGAAAGCCTAGAGAACAAATGGATTTGTCAGTTAAAAATAGGAGAGGAGAGTTATTAAATGGAGAGTTAGAGGTATTGGGAAGATGGAAGGAATATTTTGAGGAATTGTTAAATGTTGATGAAGATAGGGAAGCTGTGATTTCGTGTATAGGGCAAGGAGGAATAACATCTTGTAGGAGTGGGGGAAGAGCCAGTTGTGAGTGTGGGGGGAAGTTCGTGAGGCAGTAGGTAAAATGAAAGGGGGTAAGGCAGCCGGGATTGATGGGATAAAGATAGAAATGTTAAAAGCAGGGGGGGATATAGTTTTGGAGTGGTTGGTGCAATTATTTAATAAATGTATGGAAGAAGGTAAGGTACCTAGGGTTTGGGCAGAGAGCATGCATAGTTCCTTTGTATAAAGGCAAAGGGATAAAAGAGAGTGCAAAAATTATGGGGGGATAAGTCTGTTGAGTGTACCTGGTAAAGTGTATGGTAGAGTTATAATTGAAAGAATTAAGAGTAAGACGGAGAATAGGATAGCAGATGAACAGGAGGCTTTAGGAAAGGTAGGGGGTTTTGTGGACCAGGTGTTTTTCAGTGAAACATATAAGTGAACAGTATTTAGATAAGGCTAAAGAGGTCTTTGTGGCATTTATGGATTTGGAAAAGGGTATGACAGGGTGGATAGGGGGGCAATGTGGCAGATGTTGCAAGTGTATGGTGTAGGAGGTAGGTTACTGAAAGCAGCGAAGAGTTTTACAGGATAGTGAGGCTCAAGTTAAGAGTATGTAGGAAAGAGGGAAATTTTTTCCCAGTAAAAGTAGGCCTTAGACAAGGATGGGGTTTATGTCACCGTGGTTGTTTAATATATTTATAGATGGGGTTGTAAGAGAAGTAAATGCGAGGGTCTTGGCAAGAGGCGTGGAGTTAAAAGATAAAGAATCACACACAAAGTGGGAGTTGTCACAGCTGCTCTTTGCTGATGACACTGTGCTCTTGGGAGATTCTGAAGAGAAGTTGCAGAGATTGGTGGATGAATTTGGTAGGGTGTGCAAAAGAAGAAAATTAAAGGTGAATACAGGAAAGAGTAAGGTTATGAGGATAACAAAAAGATTAGGTGATGAAAGATTGAATATCAGATTGGAGGGAGAGAGTATGGAGGAGGTGAACGTATTCAGATATTTGGGAGTGGACGTGTCAGCAGATGGTCTATGAAAGATGAGGTGAATCATAGAATTGATGAGGGAAAAAGAGTGAGTGGTGCACTTAGGAGTCTGTGGAGACAAAGAACTTTGTCCTTGGAGGCAAAGAGGGGAATGTATGAGAGTATAGTTTTACCAACGCTCTTATATGGTGTGAAGCGTGGGTGATGAATGTTGCAGCGAGGAGAAGGCTGGAGGCAGTGGAGATGTCATGTCTGAGGGCAATGTGTGGTGTGAATATAATGCAGAGAATTCGTAGTTTGGAAGTTAGGAGGAGGTGCGGGATTACCAAAACTGTTGTCCAGAGGGCTGAGGAAGGGTTGTTGAGGTGGTTCGGACATGTAGAGAGAATGGAGCGAAACAGAATGACTTCAAGAGTGTATCAGTCTGTAGTGGAAGGAAGGCGGGGTAGGGGTCGGCCTAGGAAGGGTTGGAGGGAGGGGGTAAAGGAGGTTTTGTGTGCGAGGGGCTTGGACTTCCAGCAGGCATGCGTGAGCGTGTTTGATAGGAGTGAATGGAGACAAATGGTTTTTAATACTTGACGTGCTGTTGGAGTGTGAGCAAAGTAACATTTATGAAGGGATTCAGGGAAACCGGCAGGCCGGACTTGAGTCCTGGAGATGGGAAGTACAGTGCCTGCACTCTGAAGGAGGGGTGTTAATGTTGCAGTTTAAAAACTGTAGTGTAAAGCACCCTTCTGGCAAGACAGTGATGGAGTGAATGATGGTGAAAGTTTTTCTTTTTCGGGCCACCCTGCCTTGGTGGGAATCGGCCGGTGTGATAATAAAAAAATAAATAATAAATAATAAGCATTGTTTTGATTCTCATTCATCACAAATGCATGCATTCATCCCACTCCCTCACACACAACCACCCTTAATCTCTACAAGTTTTGTACTATCCTTGGATATTACTCAACCAACATGCTCCCTACTTTTAAGAATAGAAAAGAAAATTAGTCTGGTTTATGACTGATCCCCATATCATCTACCCCAAGGTAAAACAGTTAAATATAGCTATGCCATTTTTTTTTATTTTGCATCTAAACCTAACACCCTAACTTGTTAAAATTTATATAAAATAACATTGTTTAACAATTAAACTGTCCAAACGTAGATCTACGTTCATGTGCGTAGCGCTCCAACCTTGATTTTCCCCATTTGAAAGCATGTAAAAAACGTAGATCTATGTTCGGAGCCCCCCGTACATGGACATAGATCTACGTTTAGACAGTTTAAGGGTTAATTACCTAACTTGTCTAAGAATTGACTATATTTAACAATTTTACCCAGAATGGGGAGAGGTGGAGAAATCTCTGGGTGACCATGATTATTATTATCATTGTATTGTATTCATGGGGGAGTGCTAAACCCATAGGGGCCATACAGTGCCTGGGAGAAATGAAAGGGATTCAAGTTCAATCTAAGGAAGGGGAGAGCAGGTCCAATTCCTTGGATCAAAACACCTTCACTGGCCTCATGGAACTTTACTTAAGGATAACCAGTGAGTTATTCTGTATTTTCAGTCTCTCCAGAAAAGTAACTCCATAAATATGAATGTCTAGCTGAATAATGTGGAGTAATGTATGGCCTTGAGTTCATATGAGCACCTCAAAAAAGAGCTACTTAAATTGAGAACTACCTTACCCTGTCGAGCAGTTTGCTGACAAAGTGATTTTATAAAATGGAGAAATTCACTATATTTATTCAGAAATCTATGCGATTAAGAAATAAATTTGTGAAAACATATGAAGAAGAGAGAATTTAATAAAAAACAGTGCAGTATTACATGAAGCACCTTCTACACATGGCAAAAAGGAACACTGATACCCGCTCTAGGAAAAATGGTATTACAGTAAATTAAATAATACTGAAAGTACATCTGCAAATATGCATTATCTTGTTTGAGTATATCATGAAATGTAAGACACATTTTAATAGTAAAACTAATTCTTTGCACATTTATAATCAAGAATGGAGTTAACTAATTATGCCTACATTACACAAGGATGTGATATCAATTGATACAATAATAGTAAACAATAACAATAGTCTGTAATAAAAGCAATAATAATGAAGATTACAATATTAATTTCAGCAAGCTTGAAGATTTATTATAGAAAATGATACCAAATGAACTGAAAAGTTGACAGGAAATACTGAGTGAACAAACTGAAAATGATAAAGAATTAAAAATTACTTACCTTAGCACCAATAAATCCATTTGCACGAACATTTTTTGGATATTTGTATTTGTAGAATCCACAGGGTGCATTACCAAGGAACTTCACTTTAAGAGAGTCTCCACATCTTTCTTTAACAACTCGTTCACAAGTCTACAAATTACAGTATTAAACAGAGGTTAAGATTTTCATAAAGACAATACCAAACTCTATGAATTTAGTATGCAAAGCATTTATTTTCTTTTGCAAATTATTAGTCTTCAAGTAAACATATGTTGGAATTTATTAAAAATGTATACAGAAACAGCTGAATTATTGCCTTTCTAATGAAATAAATAAATCTGTTTATTAAACTGGTTACTATGAGGTACTGTATTTGCACTTTCAAGTTTAAAATTCAAAATGAAATAATACTACATATTAACCCTTTTGCTGACTATGCCGTAATATTACATCTTTGAGTTCACTGGCCATGCCGTATTATTATTATTATAATCAAGGGGGAAGTGCTAAACCCGTAGGATTATACTGTGCCTGTGGGGGGGAGGGGGATGGAAGGTATTTAGGTATTCATGCTTAATTCAGGGAACTGGAGCACAGATCCAATTCCCTAGATCTAGAGCCCCTCATCAGCATCAAGGAACCTTCATTGAGGGGTGGCCATGCCGTAGTACTATGCCTTTGAGTTCACTGGCTGTGCCACAGTACAGGTCGGCCATCACTAATCCGGCAATCAGTTATCCGGTACTGTAAGTAATCCGGCACTAATTTCAGCTAGCATAATTTCAAATTTCATCATTAAACTGACTGAAATTTCATCATTTTACTGACTCAGAAATTATGCAGATGGTTGTAAATCCACAGCAACAAGCCAGTGGAGGAGAAAGCAGTGATGAAAATGAGAAAATGTAGCAAAGAGTCTCTAATGATAGGTTAAGTGTATTCTAACCTAACCAATCTGTAATCCGGCAAACTCACTAACCCGGCACACTACAGGTCCCAACGATGCCAGTTTAGTGATGGCCAACTTGTACTATGTGGTGAATTCAGCTCACTCAGGTAAGCTGTGAGTGGTAAATCTGGGCCTAGATATGAGAAAATAGGTAGATGTGGTAGGTGTGAACCATAAAAAAAGTCCTGCAGCACGCAGTGAATAACGACAAAAAAAATTGTGACCGTATGTTTGGTTTAACACTTCGACTGTTTTGGTCGTACATATACGTCTTACGAGCCACCGTTTTTGACGTATATATACTCATAAATTCTAGCGGCTTCAAATCAAGCAGGAGAAAGCTGGTAGGCCGACATATGAGAGAATGGGTCTGTGTGGTCAGTGTGCACCATATAAAGAAAATCCTGCAGCACGCAGTGCATGAGAAAAAAAAACTCAGACCATTTTTTTTAATTAAAATGGCAAGTTTGTGGTCTATTTTCGTATAGTATTTATGGTTGTATTCTCGTTTTCTTGGTCTCATTTGATAGAATGGAAAACATATTATAGAAATAGAGGTGATTTTGATTGCTTTTACTATGAAAAGAACCTTGAAATGGAGCTCAAAGTAGGAGAAATGTTTGACTTTTGCCGATGTTCAAAAGTAAACAAATGATATCATTTTCCAATAAATGTCCAAGTAGCCATTCTAATATGCAGTCATGAATGGGTTGACATTATTTATACAATTATTACAATATTGCAGTAGTCTGCATAACAGTAAATCTTGTATTTTTTGTTTGAATAAAAATTCAAAATAGAAAGCAAGAGTAATATCAAAGGGGCCTGGAGACGTGACTAATGAACAAAGAAAATGTTATTTTAGAGCCAGGAATGTCTGCTTTGTTCATTCTTGACCCTATTTTGAAATTGTCATATTTTTTAATTTTCGTGAAATTGGCCAAATTGCAAATTTCTGACCACGTTATTAGGTAGTTGAAATCGGTAAATGGACAGTTTCTTGTACTCAGTCGCTGGAAAAAATGGAGTTCTAAAGAAATAGCTATGAGTTTGGTCGACTGGAACAATGGAATTAGTCGAAAATAGGGCTCAAAATGGGCAAAATCGCCGATTCGTAAATATCGCCGAGGTTGCTAACTTCGTGAGAGCGTAATTCCGTCAGTTTTCCATCAATTTCATTCTTTTGGTGTCATTACAATCAGGAAAAGATTCTCTATCATTTCATGAGAAAAAATAATTTTTTTTTATGAAATTTTGCGACACCAGGAGACACCTCAGGATTTGGGGGTGCAACAGTCAAGGAGTTAAAACATTAACTTTGTAGTGTATTTTCGTATAGTATATATGGTTGTATTCTCGGTTTCTTGGTCTCATTTGATAGAATGGAAGATATATTACAGAATTAGAGATTATTCTGACTGATTTTAGGACTGAAAATAGCTTGAAATTGAGCTTGAAATGTTCGATTTTTGCCGATGTTCAAGAGTAAACAAATCACATTACATGTCGAATACATATCACCTGGTGAGTCTAATATGCATTAATGAATGTGCTCATATTATTTATACAATTACAATATTGCATAACAGTAAATCCTCTATTTTTTTCTTTGAGTAAAAATTATTTGTGTGAATAAAAATGGAATTCATATGTAAACCTAGAAACATAATTAATGAACAGTGGAAATTTTATTTTAGCGACAGGAATGCCTGCATTACTTATTCTAGACCCTATTTTGAAACTGGAATATTGTGAAATTTGTGTGAAATTGGCCAAATTACCAATTTCTGATCACTTTATTGGGTAACTGAATAGTTGATTGGGTAATTTCTTATGCTCAATCGATAAAATGGAAGACATACTAGTTAAATAGCTAAGAATTTGGTCGAGTGGAACAATGTAACTGGCCTAAAATAGGACTCAAAGTGGGCAAAACATCACTGACACAGTAAAATTTGTGAGAGCATAATTTCACCAATTTTCAACTAAATTTCATACTTTCTGTTTTATTACCTTCAGAAAAAAATTCTCTACTATTTCGTAAGAAATAAAAATTTTTTTTGAAAATTCTTAAACGCTGTGGACAAGTTTCAGATTGGGGGTCTGGAGAGTGAAAGGGTTAAATGAAACTATTGCTAAAAAAACAAAAATCATGATGCCATTTATGCCATTTCATTTAACATTAATGGTTTTAGAACCTTCATAGTACATCTCTGATATTATGATTTGCATGTGGCAAGTTTTAAAAAGTTTTGCTTTGATTAATTTTCAATCCATTAAGCTTATTTCTTACATAGAGTTATAGGATACACTAAGAGTCAATGAGGAGAGATATAAAAATAAAAAAAGCTAAATAAGCAATCATGACTACTTTAATTACTGTAGATGACATATGAATTTGGCAATGTAATTATAGATTCAAGTGATTAAAGGAGAACTCTAGGCTATTGTGTAAAAGTTACAACAATTATTAGAATGAAGCAGAAGTATAAATAAATCGTATGAATAAATCTATACCTGTCTTAAAGTCTCTCCTGGTAACCAAGGTGTTTGAGGTAGACTCCATTCATAACTGCTTCCTAATTTTTGCTTGACAACAAGTAACAATGATCTCTCCTGAGAACGATTAAGGCTGCCAAGATCACTAGTATCATCAGCACCTGAAATTTAATGTACTTGTTGAAAAACTTTATCAGTTTCTTTTGCACATCTAAAGTTTATATATAATATATACAGCACGTGTGAGCGTGAATGGTTTTTGGGACCTGATGAACTGTTGCAGTGTGAGCAGGGTGATAGTTTATGAAGGGATTTGGGGAAACTAGTTAGCCGGACTTGAATCCTGGAGGTGGGAAGGGAATGTACAAGAGTGTAGTGGTACCAACACTCTTTTAGCTTGGGTTCTAAATGCTGCAGCAAGGGGGAGGCTGGACGCAGTGGAGATGTCGTGTCTAAGGGCAATGTGTAGTGTAAATATTATGCAGAGAATTCGCAGTGTGGAAATTAGGAGGAGGTGCGAGGTTACTAAAAGTATTAGTCAGAGAGCTGAAGAGGGTTTGGTCATTTAGAGAGTATGGATCAAAGTAGAATGACATGGAGAGTGTATAAATCTGTAGGGGAAGGAAGGCGGGGTGGGGGTCGTCCTCAAAAAGGTTGGAGGGAGGGGGTAAAGGTTTTGTGGGTGACGGGCTTGGATTTCCAGCAAGCGTTTGTGAGCATGTTAGATAGTAGTGAATGGAGACTAATGGTTTTTGGGACCTGATGAGCTGTTGGGGTGTGAGCAGGGTAATATTCTGTGAAGGGATTCAGGGAACCGTTTAGCCGGACTTGAGTCCTGGAAGTAGAAAGTACAATGCCTGCACTTTAACCCTTTCAGGGTTTCCAACGTACTAGTACATCTTACGCACCAGGGTTATTGACGTATGTACTAGTATGTATGCGTAAATTCTAGCACCTTCAAATCTAGCGAGAGAAAGCTGGTAGGCCTACATATGAAAGAATGAGTCTATGTGGTCAGTGTGCACAGTAAAAAAAAAAAATACTGCAGCACACAGTGCATAATAATAAGAAAAAACTTTGTGTTTTTGGTGTAAAACAGCAACTTTGCAGTGTATTTTCATATGATATTTATGGTTGTATTCTAGTTTTCTTGGTCTCATTTTATAGAATGGAAGACATCTTACAGAAATTGAGATGATTTTGATTGGTTTCACAATGAAAAGTACCTTGAAATTGAGCTCAAGCTAGCAGAAGTGTTTGATTTTTGCCACAGTTCAAAAGTAAACAAATCATGCCACGTGTCCAATACACGTCAAGTGGTGAGTCTAATATTCTTTCACAAGTGCGCTGGTATTATTTATACCATTTCTACACTAATGCAGTAGTCTGCATAACAGTAAATCTTCTATTTTTTGTGAGAATAAAAATTCAAATTGGAAAGCAAAAGAAATGTAAGAGGGGCCTGGGGACATGACTAATGAACAGAGGAAATGTTATTTTAGTGCCAGGAATGTCTGTCTTGTTTATTCTGGACCCTATTTGGAAATTGGCATCTTTTGAAATTTGTGTGACCACTTTATTGGACCACTTTATTGGATAGTTGAAATCAGTAAATGGGTGGTTTCTTGTACTCATTCGATAGAAAAACTGGAGTTCTAGTGAAATAGTTATGATTTTTGTCACCTAGTACACAAGAATTGGCTGAAAATAGGGCTCAAAGTGGGCGAAATCGCTGATGCGTAAACATCATTGAGACCGCTAACTTTATGAGAGCATAATTCCGTAAGTTTTCCATCAAATTTCATACTTTTGGTGTCATTATGATCGGGAAAAGATTCTCTATCATTTCACAAGAATTTTTTTTTTTTCTGAAAATTTTTTGACCCTGAGAACAAGTTTAGGAGAGGGCCTCTCGACCATGAAAGGGTTAAAGGAGGGGTTTGGGATATTGGCAGTTTGGAGGGTCATCTAAACTGTTGTATCTGAGTGCCTCTGCAAAGACAGTGATTATGTATGAGTGATGGTGAAAGTGTTGAATGATGATGAAAAAATTTTTTTTTCCTTTTTCTGGATCACCCTGCCTCAATGGGGAAATGGCCTATGTGTAAAAAAAAAAAAAAATAGACAGTGGAACCTCAGTACTCAAACACCCCTCTATTTGAACAATTCGTTATTTGAATGCTTTGTTCAGTAAAAAATACTCGGTAGTCAACTGTTTGCTTGGCACTCGACCAAACAAACACGACCTGTCAGAACTTCGCTCTAAAGTATTTCATATTTCTTTGAGTAAACCATACCCCCGGCCGGGATTGAACCCGCGGTCATAGAATTTCTTTGAGTTTTTTGGTGTTTTTTATATTATTTGTATAAATAAGTCACCATGGAGCCTACAAAGATCAGTGATAACAGCCAACCATAAATAAAATTGACTGGGAAAAATTCGTTCAGTACTTGAACAGATCAGCAATCGAACAGCCTTCTGGAATGAATTAAGTTCAAGGACCGAGGTTCCACTGTATAATATATATATATACAGTGGACCCTCATTCTTTGTAAGCACTGGAAGTCGTAATTTTCGAAAATCATAACATTCTTTCATCAAAATATTGACTCACAAAATATTGTCATCTGACTCGCAAACAGTCATTCGTCCCAAACACGTATGAGGGGCCCCAACACAGCCACAGTCAGTGTCCCATTGTTTATCAGCGAGTGAGCATGATCCCACGCATTCATATGATACATTTTGTAATATTTCATTCATTTTAGTGCTTGCAACTACTAATTAAACCACTATGGACCGAAAGAAAGCTAGTGCCAGCCCTTTGGTAAAGAAGGTGGCAAACACGACAGAATTAAAGATGGAGGTATTGGACAGATGGCGGAAATATTTTGAGGAACTTTTAAATGTCGACACAAAGAAAGGGGGGGCGGTAATTTCACGCATTGGCCAGGAAGGTATATCATCTTTTAGGAGTGAAAAAGAGCAGGATGTGAGTGTGGGGGAGGTGCGCAAGGCTTAGTAGAGTAAAAGGGGGGTTTAAAGCGGGAATGAGGGGATCATGAAGTGTTAAAAGCTTGGGGGGATATAGTTTAGGGGGGTTGGTATGTTTTTTTAAACCCCTTTGGTGGGGCCCCTCCCCTAAACAGTTCTCAGGGTCAAAATTTTTCGTAAAAAAAAAAAAAAATTTTTGAAATGATAGAGAATCTTACCCTTCATAATGACACCAAAAAGTAAAAAATTTGATGGAAAAATTTACGGAATTATCTCTCGTGAAGTTAGGGTTCGACAATGTTTTGCATCGGCGTTTTCCCCCACTTTGAGCCCTTTTTCGCCCCAATTCCTGTGTACTAGTTGACAAAATCATATTTATTTACTACAAAGGTACAAAACCACCCTTTTTTAAAATTTAAAACTATCCAATAAAGTTAGAATTGGTAATTTTTGCCAATTTCACACAAATTTCAGAAGATCCCAAATTTCCAAAGGGTCCAAAATAACAAGACAGGACATTCCGGGCACTAAAAAAAACAAGTTTTGTTCGTTAGTCTGCCCCCAGGCCCGCTTACATTTTTTTGTTTTTCCCACTTTAATCTTTATTCTGTAAAAAAAAAAAAGATTTATTTTATGCAGACCTGGATTAGGATAAAAATATAAACCCACTTGTGAAAAAATATTAATCACCAATTGACGTGCATTGGACATTTGGGTATGTTTTGTTTACTTTTGAACTTTGGTAAAAATCGAAATTCTGACTTTGAGAAAAATTTCAATTTACTTTTCTTTGTAAAACCCAATCAAAATATCTCAATTTGTAATAGTCTTCCATTCTAAAAAATGAGACCAGGAAAACTAAAATTTTACTGTACAACCATAAATACCATATGAAAAAATACAGTGCAAAGTCGCTGTTTTTAATCCAAAAACCGGTCAAATTTTTTTTTTCTCATTACTATGTGTGCGCGGGTTTTTTTATCTGAGCACAACCAATAGACCCATTCTTTCATAGTAGGCCTACACTTCTCTCATAATTTGAAGGGGGTAAAATTTGGCGTTTTGTACGTCAATAACCCGGGTGCTAGCCGATTTGATTCGAAAACCCTAAAAGGGTAAATAAATGTACGAAAGAGGGGGGTCCCTAGGGATTGGCAGAAAGTGTATAGTTCCTTTATAAAAAGGGAAAGGGACAAAAGAGACTGAAAAAATTATAGAAAAATTATTCATGAGCATCCCGGGAAAATGTCGGTAGGGTTATTATTTAAAGAATTTAAAGAGGCAAGACAAAATGTGGGATTGTGGAGAGCAGGAGTTTCAGAGGGGGGTAGGGGATTTTAGATCAAGTGTTTCATTAAAGCATTTGTAACGTATTTAGAAAAGGGTAAAAAAGTTTTTATTGCTTTAGGATTAAAAAAAGGCTTATGTAGAGTGGATGGGGGTTGAACTGTGGCAGATTTGCAAGTATATGAAATAGGTAGAATTTACAAAATGCTAAAGAAAGTTTTTTGAGGTATGAGGCTCGGGTTTAGGGTGTGTGGGAAAAGGGAGATATTTCCCGGAAAAAGTGGTCTTGGACGAGATATGTATGTCCCGGGTTGTTTAATATTTTTGTAGAGGGGGTTGAAAGAGAAGAAAAAGCTAGGGTTTTATAGAGGGGGGGGATTAAATTAGGGAATAAAATAAAAAAAATGGGAATTGAACAGTTACTTTTTGCGTGATACTGTGCTTAGGGAGATTCAAGGAGAAATTGAAAAGGTTGGTGGACGAGTTTGGGAGTGGTGTAAAGGTAGAAAGTTGAAATGAACATAGAAAGGTAAGGGTGAGGGGATCAAATGTTTTTAGATAAAAAAAAATTGGGGATTTTAAAATTGGGGGAAGGGGAGTAGGAAGAAGTAATGTTTTCGATATTGGGATTTGAGTTCGAGGGTGGTTTTATAAAAGGTGAGGTTAATCATAGAACATGAAGGAAAAAAGGTGAGTGGGCGTGAGGTATGGGTGGAGACAAAAAACTTTCTTGGGGGAAAAGAAGGGAAGTATAAAGAAGTGGTGCCAACATCTCATATGGGTGTGAAGCCTGGGTTGAAAATGCTGCGTGGGGAACAGTCGGAGGCAGTGGAGATGTCCTGTTAAAGGGGGAATGTGGGGTTAAATATTATGCAGAAA